CATAGGTGGAAGCAGAGAGGGTGGCACATCCCTGCTAATGTTTCTTCTTCCCAGACTCTCCTTTTTTATAAGCCACCATATTTGAGAAAAGAGCTATGACTGTAAAGTGTTAGGAGTGGAGGGTTCTCTTTCCCTGGATCTGTCTCCAAAAGGAGGGTTATAGGGGGTAAGGTGGGGAGAGTCCTAGACTAACCTCAAAGACCCTTGTTCTAAATCTACTGTACCCATGGATCCAAGAACCAGATAATGACATATTCACTTGGAGATCACTCTAGCCCAAGTCTGGAATAAGGATGTCCCAGGTATGAAACATCAAACATCAAATTAGATTGTAGGTCCTCACCAGAACTGTTGTCACATTTGTCTGAGATGACATCATATACATATTGATTGAAAAGAGGTTGTGAAAATTGTCATATGGGACCCTTTCTTATGACACTCTCTTCATCCCACACTAATAATTTAGGTACTAGATTCACAAATACCGAGAAATTTTACTCTTCTCTAGGACAGGGCTGAAGTGTCCTAAAGAATCACAGACCACATCTGAAGTCAAGCCTGGGATTATGTTAGCCTCTGGAGCTTGATACATGTGCAATATTTGACTGGAATTTTGTGTATTTGTTTTTACTGCATACTGCTCTGTTAGCAAATAAAATAATTTTTCAGTGAGTGTCTTTATTTGTAATAGTTGGGCCATTTCTGGTGACATTTCACTGGAGTGAAAGGTAATATAGTTCAAGATTGGGATATAATGAAGGACAAGCCAATGTTGTCCTTCACTGATCTTGTTCTTTGGCTTTAAAAGCAGATATATATCGGGACTTCCCTGGTGGTGCAGTGGTTAAGAATCTGCCTGCCAATGCAGGGGACACGGGTTCGAGCCCTGGTCTGGGAAGATCCCACATGTCGTGGAGCAACTAAGCTCATGCACCACAACTACTGAGCCTGCGCTCTAGAGCCCGTGAGCCACAACTACTGAGCCTACGTGCCACAGCTACTGAAGCCTGTGTGCCTAGAGCCCACGCTCTGCAGCAAAGAGAAGCCACCACAATGAGAAGCCTGTGCATCTCAATGAAGAGTAGTCCCTGCTCGCGGCAAGTAGAGGAAGCCCGTGAGCAGCAACAAAGACACAATGAAGCCAAAATAAATAAGTAAATAGATAAATTTGTTTTAAAAGAAGCAGATATATATCATCTACTGTTTTCTTGCAGTCTGTAGTATGAGTTGAAAAGTATCTGAGAAACCCAGAAAATCCCTTCATCTAAAGTCTTTTGCAGATGTTCCTACAGAAAGACTATGAGCTTCTATTCTGTTTTGACTCAAAGGATAGAGTGTCATCTTCCACCTAAAATGAATAGGCAAGCAAGTAAAGAATACCGACCAGCAATTGCAAACTTTTTGTACATTTCCAGCATAGTATCAGTAACACTCAGCAATATTTCAGGAGGAACAGACATTCATATTTTATCTCTGTTTACAACATTTTGACATGAGCAATAGCTGTACTTCCTTTCTATTATGTTAAATATCACAACTTTATTATTTTAGACTAACATATTTCTACAGATGTCTTTATCAGATACAGGTTGAAGCATATCATGCACTTGTGCAAAATCCTTCAAATATTCACACTTTGATGATGTAAATATCTGACATTCAAAGCTCTATTTTCTCTCTTGAGCCCAATCTCTTATTACACTCTTCCAAATGTCCTAGGCTTCCACCATGCCAGGCTTATCTTGAATACATCATGTACCTTTTAATGTCTCTCTCTCTTTTAATTTAGTCGGAATGTCTTCAAGGTCCAATCCCCTATCCCCACTTTCCCACTTTGATAAGAAAATTCTTGATAGAAAGGAGAATTTCTATAACCTCATTTTTTCCTCCAAGACTCTCTTGAGTTCACCCAAACTGGAATTAACTCACCTTCCTTTGACTTCCCACTGCATAGTGCATATACCTCTATTATAGTCTGATGTGTTTCATCCTGTCTGATAGTACAGTTAGTTGTCTATATAACCACTAGATTGTAAGCTTTCTGAGATTAGGAACTCTGTCCTAATCATCTATGTATTTCTCACAACACTTAGACCTGTACTAAATGTTCATTGGTAGACCTTCAGTAAATGCCTGTTAAATTTGGATACAAATGTCCCTGCAAGTCTGTAGAATATTTTTTTCCAATTATCCAGTTCTGTATAAATTTTGAAATATGTCACTTAAAGGCTTTTCAAGTTATAAAATCTAAAAACATATTTAGTAATTTCTAGCTATTGTTTTAATCATTGATATTGGCTACTGCAAAGTATTTGGAGATTACAAAACCACTTTTTAAAGAGTTTTTCTTTTTTATTTGCTGAGAATCACATCTGAATTATTTTCTGTATGAAGTTGTCTTTTTTGCGGAGGACAGGCTCCGGATGCACGGGCTCAGCGGCCATGGCTCACAGGCCTAGCCGCTCAGCGGCATGTGGGATCTTCGCGGACCGGGGCACGAACCCATGTCCCCTGCATCAGCAGGCGGACTCTCAACCACTGCGCCACCAGGGAAGCCCTATCTTTCTTATTGGTCACCTGCCAATGGATAAAATAAGTGCTCTGGATGCCATACCATTGAACTGATTACAATTTCCTCCATGGTTTCCTCAAAACAATCAAATGTATTCACTTAAGTGTTTGGGAATCAAATTGAAGAAATTTCAGAAACAATCAAAAAGAAAATTCCTCCTTCACAGCAACAGTGGCCCCCACAAGCTCCATGCTCACTTAACGTTTAAAAAATTATTCAACTACAATTTTACCATATTTATCAGCAAGCTCTGAACTAAGGCAGAGTACACGACTCAAAACACACTAATTGCCTTTTTAAAAATTCTCAACTCTTAATGTACATATAAACAGCCACATTGTATTGCAATCAAGTGAAGTGCAAATAAAAGGAAGTCAGGTTTTAAAAGTATTACCCTCCCACCACACACACACACACACACACACACACACACACACACAAACACACACACCCCAAAATGGAGAAGAGCACACTTCTTTGTGGTAATGTGGTGCTATTTTTACTTTTTTTTTTTTTCCACCACCTGCTACCTTCTTATGGCAGGAAATGACAACTCCCTCCCCCACCATAGTCAGGGAACTCACCAAGTACCAAAAGTGTGTTGAACAGGCACTTGTTCCCAAAATCTGCAGTTGAGAAAAGATTATATTTGCTTCCTATTACATTTACCTGCTGGTTCGCTCACTTTTATATCTGACATAAGCCAATTGTTTACGTCTCTCTCTCATTATCTACTCAGAGAGTACAGCTGGACTTCTGGATACCTAAGTAATTTAGGCATAAGCTTGCTATTTATTTATTTCCAATGCCTTTCCCTTAAATGTATCTTGTGAAAGGCTAAAGGGAGAAGGTACTTTGAAACCAAAACTGGTGACAGTAAATAAAAGGATTTTTTTCAGTGAATGGCATTATTTGCAGTATTTGGTTGGTTTTTGATGACTCTTTATATCACTGGATTGAAAACTAAGTGACTAGCCACTTCTTGAGATTCATTGCAATTGAGTTCATTGCATTTTCTTCCTGCTTTATTTGTAACTTTTTAACAAGTGTTAAAGCAATGACATTTAGCTCTAAGTGATGGCAAAAAAAAAAAAAAAACTTGAATTCAGATGTTCCCCCACCTCATACTTACCAACTTAAGTGTATGTCAGGGTAAACGAGATAGGAGAAACAACTCTTTGACAGTTTGGAATGCCAATCGGTTGTTTCAATGATTGACATCAGTGACAGAGTAATTGCGAACATGAGAAATATGGTTATTTTTTATTTTAAGATGATCATCAAATGGTAATGTGCTTCCATCATTTGTTCGTGATCTATCTAACTGTCCATCGATCATATCAACAAGGCTTCACAGACAGGATAAAAGGAAAGTTGAAACAAATGGCTAGCAATCTTAAGGGCAAATTTATCTAAAACTGGGACCCTTCTCTTTCACTGTTCTTCCCAATACTGGGTATGTCACTGATACACTAATAACTCAAAGTTTTGACTTTAAATTTTTCTTTGATCTCCTTCCTCCCTCTGTCCTGTTCCTCTTCTCTTCCTCCTATTTAGACTGCAGCTTCCTCCATCTGACCTTCTCTGCCACACTGTTGTTATCTACATTGTTTTTTCCTTAGCTCTATCTATCTGACTATTCTATTCCTTATTACTCTCACAACCTCTTCAACTATGTCATCAACATGTCCTACATACCACACCAAGGTATTCATCTCCAATAAATTTCCTTTGCCTGGGAGGATAGATGGTATTCTCCATGTGAACTTATTTATCTGGGAAAAGTCACCCAAGAGATACAATACAGCACACCTGCACACACACACACACACACACACACACACACACACACACACACATTACCTTTCTAGACTCCATCAATGAGTTGAAACATTTAAGACACTGGGTTCCTCACAGTGATAATATTTTTTTAAAAATAAAGTTATTGGAAACAACAAGGCAGAACTATAGTCAATATCTTGTAATAACCTATAATGGAAAATAATCTGAAAAAGAATATATATATATATATTCTTAAATCATATTTAATGGTGAAAGACTGAATTCATTCCTCCTAAGATCAAGAGTAAGTAAATAATGTCTGCTTTCTTTCCTTCTATGCAACATTGTACAACTTTCCAGGGCAACCAGGCAAGAAAAGGAAAATAAGGTATCCAGACTAGGAAGGAAGAATCAAAATTATCTTTATTTCTAAATGACATGATTGTCTATGTAAAAAAATACAATGCAATCTTCAAAAAAAGAACTACCAGAACTAATAACTGAATATAGCAAGGTTTCCAGAAAAATGTCAATAAAGAAATATCCACTGTATATCTATGTACTAGTAATGAATAGTTGTACATTAAAAATTAGAAAAATATAACCTTTACAATACCATCAAAATATGAAATACTTAGAAATATACCTGGTAAATGATGTCGAAAAAACTGTACACTGGTATTCACAAAATCTTGCTGAGAGACTAAAAGACCTAAATAATGGAACAACATATATTAAAATAAATAAATAGATAGATAGATAAATGAACAAACTTATCAGGAAGCAAGCAATCAAATGAGTTTGTCTTTCCTGAGCTGTCACTTTGAAAAGCTATAGGCTTATTCCAATTACATTCCTTATTGCTCAGGAAAATTTTGGAGCTCTCCCTTAGAATTGCACTCAGAGTCTGCCTCATATAATTTAGAATAATCTCTGTGGTGAAAAACCTTTGTCTTTTAAGGGTAGTTGAATTTTGGAAATAGTCAAAAGCCATTCAGAAATAAGTCTGAACAATGAAGTTAAGGATCAAGTTAAACATGCCATTTTTGGCTCAAAGCAAGGTATGATAAGGTATGACCATAGTGTGTTATGACATATTTCTCTTGATTAGCTCAAATCCAGTCTCAAAGATAATTTCAAAGAACAAGTTATGAGACTATTTGGTGAAACACAGCATCACTACTGTAAGCATATAACTTTGCATTTGAGGGTGACATTTATTCAAAAATATAAATAGTGATGTATTTATTTAAATTAGTAATAGCAAAGTCAATTTAGTGTAATGAAAATAATATCAGATTGAGAGCGAGAAGACTTGAGTTCTTGTTTCACCTCTGCCATTGAATATCTGTGTAACCTCGAGCAAGTCAATTTATCTGGACCGCTATTTCTTCTCTGAAATGTGTAGGTTAAGCCAAATAACTTTTAATAGCATTTCTAGCTCTAATATTTTGTCATTTTATTTCTGGATTTTATTCATTTTATTTTTATTTATTTATTTATTTATTGGTGCACCACGCAACTTCCAGGATCTTAGTCCCCTGACCAGGGATTGAACCCATACCCCCTGCAATGGAAGCACAGAGTCCTAACCACTGGGCTGCCAGGTAATTCCTCTACATCTGGGTTTTAAATAGCCTGGCATTCCATTTCATATATATGTTTTCATGTACATGCATTATATAATTATTGTATAATATGCAAACATTTTATAAATAATGAGGCATGATTTGTAGTTGGCAAGAAAACGGACTCTGGAGCCAGTGTTCCTGTATTCAAATTGAGGCTCTGCAACTGACTAGCTGTGTGACTTTGAGCAAGTTACATAAACATTTCTACATCTCAATTGCCTCATCTGTAAAATGAGATAACAGTAAGTTCCTCTATGGGTATTTAATGAGTTGTTATTTGTAAGATTCTATACCAAGTGCCATATAAATTATTAAATAAAATGAACAAATTCTTAGCATTTTCAACAGTGTAAAATAATTATATGTATGCATAAATGCTATCGCTAAAGACTGAATGCTCGTTAATGTCTCAAGGAGGAAATCATTTAAACAAATTACATAGATGACAAGTTACATACCTATTAATACAAATTATAAATTGCATACCTATTAATACAAAGGTTTTACTGTTGTTGTTCATCTTGTTTAGCTTTTTTGTTTGTTTGCTAGTTGTAATAGTTGAGTATTTCTCTTTTTCTCTCTTAAGCCTGAGGTTTTATCTTGACTATGGACTTTCATGGCTATTAATAAATGAAAATGCATTTGAATTTCCCCTAGTTAATTTGAATTTTATATCACAATGGAGATTCAGGCTCAACCAGCACTTTCATTTGTTAATACTTCCAATGGAAGTATAGTACTTTAATTGAGCCAACAGATATTTATTCCACAGAAGACTACAGAAATATATCAACTGTGTAACCTACTCCACCTATAATTAATCACAAATTTACGTGTGTTACAAACATAATATGTTTTGGACAGATGCCTAAATTTTTCTCCTTGTCTCACTGAGCTCTCCAGCTATTGTCATCCTGTTTACCTCAGGAAAAATCTCAAGTGATCTTGAGAAGAGGCTCTTTCCCTTTTTACAAGAAAGTGCAACTAGAAAGAAAGGATGGAGTGGCTTCAAGTTGGCTTTCATATATCCATAAACCCATACACTAAATACTTAAGTTAGACATGCACACATTCACATACAAAGGATATTTTCACTACAAGGTATTGTATTATTTATTAAAACCCTGACCTCATGGTAGGAATATAACTGAAAATGACTATATTTAGGGTCTTTTTTTCTCCATGTTTTAGTGATCTGCATAGTCATTTTGCTCATGGTTTTTTATTATATAAGTTTCAGGTGTACAGCATTATAATTAAACATTTGATACACTACAAAATATCACAACTACAAGTCTAGTTACCTTCCATCACAATAAAGTTGACCTTCTTCATCCATTTCACCCACTCCCCAAAACCTCCTTCCTTTCTTGTAATCACTAATGTTTGCTGTATCTATGACTTTGTTTTCATTTCATTTGGTTTTTTTGTTTTGTTTTTTAGATTCCACATATGAGTGAAATAATAAGGTATTTGTCTTTTTCCATCTGATTTATTTCACTTAACATAATATCATCAAGTTCCATCCATGTTGTCAGAAATTGCAGGACTTCATGTTTTTTTATGGCTGAGTAGTATTCCATTGTGTGTGCATGTGTGAGTGTCTGTATAATCTTTTTTAACTGAAGTGTAGTTGATTTATAATATTATATTACTTTCATGTATACAACATAGTGATTCAATATTTTTATAGATTATACTCCATTTAAAGTTAGCCATAAAAAAGAATGAAATTTTACCACATCTTTATCCATTCATCCATTGGTTGACACTTTGGTTGTTTTCCTATCTTGCCTATTGTAAATAATGCTGCAATGAACATTTGTGTTTAAATATCTTTTCGAATTAGTGTTTTCATGTTTTTCAGGTAAATACCTAGAAACGGAATAGCTGGGTCATATGGTAGTTCTATTCTTATTATTTTGAGGAATATCCATACTGATTTCCATAGTGGCTGCACCAATTTACATTCTCATCAACAATGTAGGAAGGTTCTCTTTTCTCCACGCCCTCTCCAACATTTGTTATTTCTTGTCTTGTCAGTAATAGCCATTCCAAAAGGCATGAGGTGGTATCTTATTGTGGTTTTGGCTTGCATGATGATTAATGATGTTGAACATCTTTTCATGTCCCTGTTGGCTATCTGTATGTCTTCTTTTGAAAAATAAATAAAATGTCTATTAAGATCCTCTACAACTTTTTAAATCAGATCGTTTTCTTGTTGTTCAGTTGTGTAAATCCTTTATATATTTTGGATATTAACCCCTTATCAGATATATTGTTTACAAATATCTTCTGCCATATAGTAGGCTGCCTTTTCATTTTGAGAACAGTTTCCTTAGCTGTGCAGAAGCTTGTTAGTTTGATGTAGTTCCATTTGTTTACTTTTGCTTTTGTTTTCATTACCTTTGGAGTAACATCCACCAAAACATCACTAAGACCCATGTCAGTGAGGTTACCACCTATGTTTTCTTCTAGGAATTTTATGGCTTTAGATCTTATACTCAAGTTTTTAATTCATTTAGAGTTAATTTTGTATGTTGGGTAAGATGGTTTCATTATTTTGCACATGGATGTCCAGTTTTCCCAACACCATTTATTAAAAAGACTGTCATTTCTCCATTGCATGTTCTTTGCTTGTTTGTCGTAAATTAATTGTCCATACGTGTGAGTTTACTTCTGAGCTCTCAGTTCTGTTTCATTGATCTCTGTGTCTGTTTTTGCACCAGTACCATACTGTTTTGATTACTACAGATTTGTAGTATAGTTTGAAATCAGGGAGCATAATACCTCCAGTTTTGTTCTTTCTCAACGTTGTTTTGGCTGTTCAGGATCTTCTGTGGTTCCATATAAATTTTCGTATTAGTTATTCTAGTTCTGTGAAATATGCCATTGGAATTTTGATAGGCATTGCATTGAATCTGTAGATTGCTTTGGGTAGTATGGACATTTTAACAATATTAATTCTTCCAATCCATGAGCATGGAATACCTTTGCATTTATTTGTGTCTTCTTCCATTTTTTAATCATTGTCTTATAGTTTTCAGTGTAAAGATCTTTCACCTCCTTGGTTAATTTTATTCCTAGGTTTTTTTGTTTTTTGTGGTTTTTTTGATGCAATAGTAAATGGGATTGTTTTTTTTTAACTTCTCTTTCTGATAGTTCACTAATAGTGTATAAAAACACCACAGATTTCTGTATATTGACTTTGTATCCTGTGACTTTTGTGAATTCACTTATTTCTAACAGTTTGAGGTGCAGTCTTCAGTGTTTTCTATATATACAGTGTCATTTCTTCTGCAAATAGTGACAGTTTTCTTTGTTTCCAATTTTGTTGCCTTTAATTTCCTTTTCTTGCCTAATTGGTGTGGCTAGAATTTCTAATACTATGTTGAATAAAAGTGGCAAGAGTGGAATCCTCATCATGTTCCTAATCTTAGAAGAAAAGCTTTCAGCATTGAGTATGATTTTACCTGTGGGTTTGTCATATATGGCCTTTACTGTGTTGAGGTATCATCCTGCTATACCTACTTTGTTGGGAGTTTTTTTTTTTTTTTTTTTTTTTTGCGGTACACGGGCCTCTCACTGTTGCGGCCTCTCCCATTGCAGAGCACAGGCTCCAGACGCACAGGCTCAGTGGCCATGGCTCATGGGCCCAGCCGCTCCGCGGCATGTGGGATCTTCCCAGACCGGGACACGAACCTGTGCTCCCTGCATTGGCAGGTGGACTCTCAACCACTGTGCCACCAGGGAAGCCCTGTTGGAGTTTTTATTGTAAATGGATGTGATTTTTTTTTCAAATGATTCTTATTCATCTATTGAGTTGATCATATGATTTTTACCCTTCATTTTGTTAATGTGATATATCACGTTGATTGATTTGTATGTGTTGAAACATCCCTACATCTCTGGAATAAATCCTACTTGATCATATAAGCCTTTTAATATATTGTTGGATTAGATTTGCTAACATTTTGTTGAGGATTTTTGCATCTATGTTTATCAAGGATATTGTCCTGTAGTCTTCTTTTTCTGTGGTATCCTTGTCTGGTTTTGGTATCAGGGTAATGTTGGCTTCATAAAATGTGTTTGGAAGGATTTCCTCCTCTTCAGTTTATTGGAAAAGTTTGAAAAAGATAGGTATCAAATCTTCTTTGTATGCTTTGCGGAATTCATGAGTGAAGGCATCTAATCCTGGACTTTTGTTTGTTGGGAGATTTTTGATTACTGTTTCAATATCCTTACTAGTAATATGTCTATTCAGATTTTCTATTTCTTCATGATTCAGTGTTGGAAGATTATATTCTTCTAGGAATTTACTGTTTGTTCTCAGTCGTCCAATTTTTTTGCCATGTAATTGTTCAGAGTAGTCTCTTATGATACTTTGATTTTCTGTGCTATCAATTGTAACTTCTCTTTCATTTGTTTTCTTTGAGTCCTCTCTCTTTTCCTTGTCTAGCTGAAGGTTTGTCAATTTGGTTTATACTCATGATTTTTTAAACTGAGCTTAAGTATTAGGCATCTATTAGTTATGTCCACTTCTGGTTGTTAGATATCTAGGCTGGTTTTTCAGTAATACACTTCTTCTAAGAATAGGCATCAAGACAAAGGAGCCAAAAGCAAGCATAGAAAACACCACCCCCATCTCCAAAATCTGTTCTTAACCTACATTCATTGACCTTTAAGCTTAGTAATCAGTGAATAGATGCTTGCCTAATATGCATGAATCACCTACAGCTACTGTAGTCTTCTTTTTTAGCAAATGGCATCCCTTTTCTCAACAAACACATGTCCTCTGTTGTATGACTAGGGTGGCCAATATGTGCTGAGTGATATATCTATATCTATATCTATATCATCTATATCTATATCTATCTATATCTATATAAGTTAAACTAATTCTTCCTTTGGTCTCAGGCTCCAGTATGACTCAATGGGACACTATTAATAAAAATCACATTCTACCAAATACTCCATAAACCGCAGCTTTTCATGTTCTATAAGATTACATTTATTGACTGAGATAAATGTAATTTAACTGGCCATTACCTGGTAATCTATCAAGTGGACCAGATGTGGGACAGGCTCTCATTGCCTTCCCAGGGACCACAGAGTGAAAGAGCACTCTTTTAGGGATGATGCCAAAAGAGAAGTCAAGATAATATTTTAGTACATACTGTTTTCTCCAGTGTTGGGGAAATTCTTTAATCAGAGTGATAGGGTCCCCTGAAGAAGCCATAGGGATTCTGGCTGGTTTAATTCATTCATGCCTGAAAGAACATAGAATAACAGTGATCAAATGCAGCGTGAAGAAGATGCTCAGGAGGGCTGGAAAATTTCAGCAAGTAGATGCTGAAACCCCAGAAACAGATTACCACTGGGCAAAGAGCGTGAAAAGAGTTACACTTAGCCCTTAGTGGTAGCAAAGTAGGGTGAGTGGGAATCCCTTTACTGCCATCTGACATCTCCTTTTGACTTAGCAGCTTTTAGAAAGGGTGAGAGTGGATAGGGATGTCAGTGGCAGGGTTCACAGTCCCTCCCTGGTCATAAGGAGCTCTTCATTATAATGAGCTAGCCCAGGAAAATCTCACAGCTTATAGTCAAACTCAACACAGTTGGAGTGTAGAAACTGATTTTTTCTCAGTTAGGGATTTTTCTGAGTTCTCATGACCACAACTGTTTAATTAATTAGTGAATACACATGGAAGGAGACCCAGCTGGCCACTGGCTGTCAGCATAGCTGGTGCTAAGAAGATAGACTAACTTCTGTGCAAAACTACCTTACAGGTACCCTTTCAATGCTTATAGATGGCTTTCTATGTGTGGTGATTTGAGGGCATCAAAAAACCACACTCCACACCTGCTCTTCTCTGCCTCACTTTACCCAGGGATCTCTTGCTCAGGCTTGCCACTTTGCCTGAAATATACCATTATAGATTCAATCCTTTAAGGCACTTTGTCTTTAACGCACTTTGTCTCCAAGAATCTCCTATTAAAATGAAACTACTACAAGAAGGATTTTCACTTTAACCCATTAACTGTAATCAATCAGATAAGGTAGTTCACCTTAAAAATGAATGGGATGAAATATAAAGAGAGATACGTTTTACTTGGTAGAGGAAGGGAAGTAAAGGAATGTAGAGGCAGATAGCCTTGGGTGGTGCAATATAGTAGGATTACCTGAGAAGCCAGATTGTATCATAAGTTTTGGCAGAGAATTCTACAAAGGGGAGAAGAGGGCAGGAAAGATAGAAGGCAGGTAACTAACATAGCAGCTGCCACCTAAACAAGTTTGCTTCAAACCAATCATTTTAACAATCTTTTCTCAGCTAGATTGCCAGCTCCTTGGGGAAGGGGATCCTTTCAAAGAGACCAGAGTTCAAATGCCAGGTTCAGTTGGGGAAAGTCTCTCTCTCTCTCTCTCTCTCTCTCTCTCTCCCCTCCCCTCTCCCTTTCTCCCTCTGTCTCTCTCTCCTCTCTCCCTCTTTCTCCCTCTTGTAAAATGGTATAATAAACAATGTCTACTCCTGGGGTGTATTGTTAAGATTGCGTGGGGTATCCCAAGTAAAAGCCAGTAAGACCATGCTTGATACACGATAGATGGTCAATACACATTATTTGTCCTTTTCTTCTTGCCTCTAAGACATAGCAAATAGGGTGCTAGGCACACAGGAACCTCTCAATATATGCTTTAAAAGGACCTGATGAAGAAAATTAATGGTGAAAATAAAGTAGACTAAAGTTCTTTCTAAATTGCTTTGTCTTTAAAAGAAGGTAACAATGCTGAATAAATAGACCTGAGAAGAGAATGAGTAATGTATTCTCGGTTCCCCAGTATCCACAGAAGTCTGTCATGGAGGCTAAGAAAGAAAGCCCAGACAGTAAGTTACAGACAGTTATAATCTCTACTGGTAGTTTGCTGTGTGTGAAGGTAGAACAAGAATTATCCAAGTACCACCTAAATGGGGCAGATATGTGAGGACAAACTAGAGTAATAAACCATAGGGACAGAATTCAATGACTGAGTAGGGCCGCAGATTAATCATAAACTCTACCAGGCAAATACAGCTGACTAGAAGCAGATTCTATTAAGATGGTGAATATTCTCAGTAATTTTTTTAGGTCATTTAATTTATTGTATTTCATGGACAGGACTCAGGCAAGATATCAACAAGTGGATTTTGGTTTGGGAGTCACTTCATCAATTTCTTCTAGAACAGTCATATACCATAAAATTACTGTTTTACTCGCTGGCTTTTTCAACTCCCAAAACAGGCCACTTAACCTGAGAGAAAGCAGGACGTAGGGGAAAGAGCACTGGTTAGGCATAGGATACCTGGCTTCTAGTTTTGGCCATATCACTAATTAGTGGTATAACCTTAGGAAAGTTCCTTCCATCTCTGGTGCTCAGTCTCTCATCTGTAAAATGAAGTACTTTGTAGACTAAATTATCCCTAAGGTTCTGATACTCTTAAGTCTAGTAGAAAGTTTGATTTGGCAGATAGGTCCAATTCTAGATAAAAATTGGAAAAATATGAAGAAATTTTGTGTTCTTATTTTTAAGTGCTTCATCACCTCAGGTCTGATCAAGAGTCCTCACATCACAACCTACCTGCCTGGAGTCCATATCCAATCCAAGACCCATAATCTTAGGCAGACTTTCGTGATGTGCACAAACTTATTCCTTTCATGGACTGCTCCTCATCAAAACATTTTTAGGGCCAGTGTCTCTACTTTTAACCTCAGAAAATAAGTAGATTTAAGCTAATGCATTAAGAACAGAGGACTAGAAGATATTATCCAGGACCTTCACAAAAAGCATGCAGACATTTTTCCAGCAGCCTATTTTTAAATAATTCATGGGAACTATTGCAGACCTAAGCAAAAAAGAGCATGGTACAGTACCATAGGAGGAGAGTAAGGGAGAGGTTTTAATCAGGTTAAACCCCTCACATCATACACTGAAGCCTGCTCAGCAGCCTACATATGGAGTAAATAATTCAACAAGTTCAGACAGCAAATACTTATTGAGCACTTGGGGCAACATGCTGCTTTCATTAATAAGCCCAAAGATGACATCATGGTGATTCAGTGAGCCTTATTATAATTTTTAAATTTCTGGAAGACTGATTGAGTATTTAAAATAAAGATTAGACTATTAATCTTTATTATGTCTCTATTAATAACCTTCTAATCTCTACTGATGCTTTAGTCTTTACAAACAAGGTAACTGAGGGCTAGAGAAAGCAGGGGATTCGTCCTGAGTTACATAGCAAGTTAATAACAGAGCCAGGACTAGAATTTGAGTTTTAATTCAAAATCCTTGTTTTTTTATCCACATCACATTTCCTTCCAATTACACATTCTGTAGTATGTGTGTATCCACACATATTTCTCTCCCCCTCATATAGTCCAACTATTTGGATGAAAGATTTGTTTATGTTATTAAGGCTTTCAACTTTCTAAATCACCACAGCATACAAATCACCAGAAACAAGTATCCCTCATTTTTCTTTTTGCAATGACATGGAAACCAGTGGTCTTTACTATGTGCGAAATATCGACATCTATTCTTACCTCTTCCTCTTCTCTCTCTCTACCCCAGCGCCCACACATACAGAAACACAGACACTCAGACATCCATTTCTACTGACATAAAAGACTGGAAATTAACCAAAATGAGACAAATGTTCTTTTTACCTCCTTTTCTGCTGCTACAATTTGCTAAATTATCAGTCAAGGACAAAGGAATTAAGTGATGAGCAATGCCATGTAGTAAATCAAGTCACCATGTTAGATCTCACTGGAGATAAAAAGAAAGGAGACATGGCCTCTCTCCTTGAAAACTTGTAGACTGGTAGCAGTGACACAATAGACAAAACAAAAGAGAAATGAGTAAAATCAAATGTTAAATTGAGCAATTCAAATGCCCAGCTCTGTAAAATTTGCCATGTATTTAGGGTACAAACCCACAATAGTTTTTAATGTGTTAGGCCATTCCATAAGGAATTTATAAAAGCAGTGATTTCACTAATCCATAAAACTCACGCATCTCTTTCTCATTTACTCTGCTGCAAGCCTTATAACTATTACCCTTCTTATAAGCATTTAGAACTGCAAGCCTGACCAAATGCAATGCTCCTATGTACTGAAGGAAACCTATCATGTGAAAGACAGGTGCAACTTAATTTTCCCAGAGTGATTTCAATCCAATTTCACATGGCATTTTACAAATTGTATAGAGGAATTCTGACCAAAGGAGTGCAAAGTACCCAGTAAGCATTAGCATTATGATCCATACCCTATAGAAAGTGGTGTCCTTAATCACACTCTTTTCATAGATAGAGAAACTGAAAAATGAGAAATCTTGCTGTCTTTTTCAAGTTTATACCCCAAGTCAGTCCCAAAGGAGCACAACTTGAAGCTCAAGCCTGTAATTGATACCTGCTGAAAGTATGATTTAGAACAGAGTTCTAAATCAGGGATGGATGTCCCAAGTTCCTTCCTTTACTTCCTCCTGGATAAGGAAACATAAACATGGGCGGGGGGTGCGGAGCATTGCAGAGACCAGGAAGATATGGGGTAATAACCAACATTATCAGGAGGTGAACTATCTTAAAACCCTGTTACTGTATTTTTGGTTTTTGCTTTTAATTTTTTACCCAGAGTTCTGTAACTAGGTGGGTTAGATGTTTACAACACTGAGCTCCTAAACTTAAGTATGTGAGTCAGATTCTGGTTAATTCTTTCTGAAATATAGCCATAGATTGTGTTGTGAACCTGGGACAGGCATCCTGTAACTTCAAGGCCTTGGTCTTAAGGGAAAAAAATGACTCACAAATATAAATATAGCTCTACTTTCTCTTCTGATGGTTGGTATGTAACATCAGTTTTTTATATGAAGGATCTCATGCTTTTCCCTTCAATTCTGATGCCCTAAACCCAATAAAGAGTGTAATAGGAGGTTGGCAATCAAGTATACACATAAATTATTTTATTCCCCGAGGCTTATTTAGGAGAGTCTCTCTGTAAATTTTTGTTTGTGCCCTTTCCTTGTTTTTATTTTAACTTGCATCTAAAACCACATATTCTGTCCTAGTCTCTAATATGGCCTTATATCTGAAATTCAGAACCTTTACTCTAAACTTAGCATGACATAGGTTAGGTTAGGGATAAAAAAGCAAATCTTTTGTAAAAGCTCTAATATGATTTCCTTTTTGCATCACTTCAGCTTAAATGTGAATGGGGACAGTGATTCTCTGTTTAAGGA